AGGACGTTCAGCGACCCGCTGTGCACACGACTGACCTGCCTATCGCGCAAGAGGCAAGCCTGAGCTGGATCGGATCGCGGAGTCGGACTGGGTGGGGGACAGAACGTGCCCGAATCGGCGCCCCCTGCGCAGGATGTTCGGCCCCTGCTCACACGGCTGACCGGCTATGGCGCAATTATTCTCTTGCACAGGGAGTCTAGAGCTCCGACCACTTTGTTTTTCGCGTCACACATTCCCCCTCCCCACCCCCCTCCCAACTGCAGGCTGACGCCCCTTTCCACAGTCCTCCCTGTCCCCGCTGTCCACCAGCAGACCAGCGCCCCTCCGCCCCGACCACTATATTTTTCGCGTCGCAGCCCACCCACTCACCCCGCGCGCCCCACCCCCCCTCGCCCCCCGCACAGGCCCCTCCGCCGCCGCCCGCTGTCTTCCGGCAACCCAGTGTCCCCTTCGCCCCGACCACTATCTTCTTCGTGTCGCAGCCCGCCCAACTCCCCCGCAGGCCCCCCGCCACCGCCCCTGTCCCCGCTGTCCTCCAGCAGCCAAGTGCCCCCTCCGCCCCGACCACTTTACTCTTCACACTTTGCATATCCCCACCAGCCCATTCCAAGTCAGCAATTTTGCGAAGCATGCTGACTGTCGTTGTTTTCGGGCGTACCTTCTCATGCCCTCGCATATACCCTCCTGTTCCTCCTACGTCCCACCTGCTCCATTTTAGCTTTTCCTTGTGGGAGTGGGTGGGTGTGGGACGAGGCGGAGGAGAAGGAAGAAGAGAAGGCGATGGGAGGCGAGAGGGAGACAGCGGCGACGACAACAACGGCGATGATCACAACAGCGACGACGACGACGACAACGACGACATCGACGTTGACGCCGCCGACGACGACGACGACGACGACGACGACGACGACGACGACGACCGCGACGACGACAACGACGGCGGAGACGACGACGACAACGACTACGACGACCCCGCCTTCTCCCTTTTAGCTCTTCTTTGTGGGAGGAGTGGGAGGAGGACGGGGCGGAGGAGGAGGAAGAGAATGCGGTGGGAGACGAGAGGGAGATAGCGGCGACGACGGCAACGACGGTGATGACCACAACATCGACAACGACAACGACGACGACGACGACGACCACGACGACGACGATGACGACAACGACGACGACGTCGACGACGACGACGACGAACACGACGACGACGACGATGACGACGACGACCGCGACGACCGCGACGACGAAGACGACGACGACGACTACGACGACGACGACGACGACGACGTGTCAACCATCAGTGCCTTTTCTGGGTCTTTCTCTCTGAGAGCCTCTTGGAGGCATCTTGGGGCTATCCAAGGGCCTTCTTGGGGATATGTTGGAGGCCTCTGGGCCCTTTTGGGCTCCCCGTGGTGCCTCTTGGGGCACCGTTGAAGCTCTTTGGGGTGGTCTTGGGGCCCTCTTAGGGTTTTTTTTGGGGGGGGGAGGGCTGGGAGGTCTTTCGGGGCCACCTTGGAGGCCACGTCTTAAAAAAGGAGCGCGGCGTCAATTACGGTCCCCCCTTCGGAACCCGAAGAGTAGCCTCTTGGGGCCTTCTTGGGCCGCTCTTGGGGCGCTCTTGGGCGCTCTTGGGCCCGTCTTGGGCCTCTCTGGGGCCTGTGTTGGGGCTCTCTTGGGGCCATCTTGAAGCCTCAAAGGCCCATTGAAAGCAAGAAAGTGAGAAGGGACAACACATTGATTTACCATGGTTTTTGAAGGATGTTGGCCCCTCTGGGGCGTCCTGGGGAGGCTCCGTGGCCACGTGGGGCCGTCTTGGGTGGGTCTTGGAGCCTCGTGTGATTAGGCTTGTTCGGAGCTATCTTGAGTCATCGAGGACTATTTTGAGCGATCTTGGAGGTCATCTTGAGCTTTCTTGGGCTGTCTTGGCGCCATCTTGGGCCAATACAGACGCTCTGACGACCCGCACCCCCCCCCCTCCAGGCCCAGGGGGGGGAGGGGGAGGGGCAAGCCCCTCCCCGAAGTGGAAGAAGGGGGCTGGACAGTGGGGGCTCTCTCAACCACTCACGCCCAGAAGGCTGGTGGGACTTTTCGCGTCGCATTCGCATTCGCATCCCTTCCGCGCGGGCCACCGCCACCACCAACGCACCCGAGCCCCCCCCCCCCCCCTCGGCATGCCACCGCCCCCGCCCACCTGTCCCCACTGTCCTCCGGTTGCGCAGGGCCCCTTCCGCCCCGATCATTTTGTGCTTCGCGCCGCGGCCCCCCGCCCCATTCCCCCTCCCCCCCACCTTCCCCCCCTCCCACCGGAGCGGTGCCAGGAGGCGCGGTTGGAGCCTCATTTCATCGCGCGCTGGGGGTCAGGACGACGGGAGTTCACACAGGAACTCCCTCAAACGAGACCACCTGCGCCCAGAGGGCTGGCGGCACTTCGGCACTGCACTGGCGCCGCGCCCGCCCCCCCCTGCACCCCACATCCTCTTGGACCTTGGAGGCCTCCGGGGAACCTCTTCAATGCTTTTCGGGGCTCCCGGGGACCCCTTGGGACCCTCTGTGGGCCCCTTCGCCTGGGAACGTGCGAGAGGTCTTTGAAGCCATCTTCTGGGGGACTGCCCTTGGAGCCTCCGCGAGCTCGCCCTCGGAAGCCCCTCTTGCGGCCCTCTTGGTTCCCTCCTTCTCCAATGTCTCGCCCCCTCTTCCCGCCCCCCTCCTCCCCCTCCTCCCCCTCCTCCTCCTCTTCCTCCTCCTCCTCCGCCTCCTCCTCCTCCTCCTCCTCCTCCTCCTCCTCCTCCTCCTCCTCCTCCTCCTCCTCCCCCTTATTTCTTTTTGTGCAAGAGCCATGGCACGCGTGCCACTTGTTGTGGTGGCGGACTCGGCGATCGCGCGGGTCGGTGGCATCAAGCGCTGGGCCACAGCGGAGCGAATCGTGCATGGGGGAGCCTGAAGAGCGGCCAGCTAACACGACGGGCCAGCCGGAGCTGGATCGAAGCGCGAAGTCAGACCGAATGGGTCGGCGGCGGACAAAACTCCCTGTAGTAAACCTCCCCTTAGTGAAAACGGCCTGGGACCGAAACCGACGGACCTGGACCCGCACAAAATAACGACCGCGACGCCCTCTCGCAAACCGAAAACGGCCAATTCAGGGTAGGAGGGGTAGAAGGTAGGAGGTCTATCCAGGGTAGGAGGTAGGAGGTAGGAGGTCTATCCACCTCCGAATGGTGGAGGTAGGAGGTAATCGACGTGTCAGGGTAGGAGGTAGGAGGTAGGAGGTAGGATGTAGGAGGTAATCGACGTGTCAGGGTAGGAAGTCTATCCACCTCCGAATGGTGGAGGTAGGAGGTAATCGACGTGTCATGGTAGGAGGTAGGAGGTAGGAGGTAGGATGTTGGATGTAATCGACGTGTCAGGGTAGGAGGTCAATCCACCTCCGAATGGTGGACGGATCGCGCACGAGTCGGCGCGGAATCGGATCGGGACCCTTCGGCCTCGCACATCGGCCTCGGCCCCTGCAGGCCCGAGAGGGAATCTGGGGCGGCTAAGCGGGGGGCGCCCAAGAGGGGGGGGGGCGCAGATCATGGCCGGCGGCGTGTGCGCGGCCCAGGGGGGGGGGGCAGGGACGTCATGAAACAAGAAGAGGCGCCATGAAATCTGAGGAGATATGATGGCCCACGCCACGGTATCTCCCCTCCCTAGCCATCACCCCCCTCTTGGCCGCCCCCGAGGGAACCGATTCGTGTCGGATGGGATCGGATCGACATCGGAATCGAAACTTGGGGAACGGATCGGATCGGCTCGGACCGTGAGCGGCCCTGCCTATTCCCACTGGGACAACCAAGGCCCCGCCATCCGACCGACCCCCCCCGTGTGGGGATGGATGCCGTCGTCTCCACGAGGACATGCCGGTGGCGCTAAAGGAACCCTGGCCCACCGGGAACGGGGAAGGGTCTAGCAAGCTTTGCGGCTTTAATTTGCTCACTGGGAACGGGGATAGATGCCGTCGTCTCCACGAGGACAAGCTGGTGGCGCTAGAGAAACCCTGGCCCACCAGGAACGGGGGAGGGGTCTGACAATGCATGGGAGGTCCGTGCCAATGGTCGAGCACGGCGGCTGCGGTGTGGGCTGCCGAGGCCACCAAATCTGAGTGCCAGTTGCCACCACCGGGCGGGCAACAGCCCCTGAAGAGACGTGAAGGCCGGAGGAGGAGGAGGAGGAGGAGGAGGAGGTAGAGGAGGAGGAGGACGAGGAGGCGGACGCGACAACGACGGCCAAATTCAGGTGGACGGGGACGAAGGAGGACGAGGACCAGGCGAGCAAAGGTGTAGCGACGCGCATCCCAGAAACCCTGCCGGCCCGACATGCCTCAGAAAACGGTAGGGAGACGAGGGAGACTAGACCGCCCAACTGCGCCCTCGTCCTCCGATGCGCTTTCACGACGCAGCCAGTCTGCCTCGGCGCCATGAGCTTGCACCATCACAACGGAGCTTCAACGCCAGTCGTTGCCGAACACCGCCTGTGTCCACGCCCTTCTGGAGGGCTGCTCCGTTTGCCCTGCGCCCCCCCGCCTGCGCCCCCACAGCCATCTGGAGGACCGAGGACCGCTGTGTCTGCCCTGTCGGGATACCCCTCGAAATCTTCAGTCAACCGACGCGGCCCAATGCCGCCTGCGACGACGACGACGACGACGACGACGACTACGGCCGCGACGGCGACGACGGTGGCAATAATGGCGACGACGGCGAAGCCGAGGCAGGCGGCGACCGGCGACGACGGAGGCGACGATGCGGACGCTGGCGACGACGACGACGTCGTCCTCTGCCCTCGGACCTGGATTGCAGAACATCGACGTCGGCGACGACGCCGACAACGACTTCGACGACGACTTCGACAACAGCGGCGACGACGACGTTGACGACGACGGCGGCGACGCCGACGACGGCGACCCGTCGCCGATGAGCGACGCGGGGACCCCTACGCAGCGCACTGCCGGCCCGGGGCCGCGCGCGCGCGGCCTCCCAGAAGCAGGTCGTCTCGAGGGTCAGGGGCCCGACGCCGACCTTGTCGAAGGCCTCGCCCCGGGCTAGGAGGAGGAGGAGGAAGAGAAGAGGAGGAGGAAGAGAATAGGAGGAGGAGGAGGAAGAGGAGGAGGAGGACGAGGAGCCCGCCCAGACTTCCCTGGAGATCTCTGGATCTGGCTAGGTGTTGTTTGGCACCAGGTCGACCTGCGTCGTTCTGCCTGGCTCCATCCACGCAGGCCGATGAGAGAAGGGTCGTCAAGCGCTTGGGAGCTCCTCTCGGGAGGAGTCTCCCCCCGCCTCACAATTCTGGCGTCACAGAAAAGAATCGGGGGCGCGCAAACACGGATTCGCGATCCATGGATTTGGCGCGCGGTCGCCAAATCCATGGATCGGGGGAGGTGCCCTCCCCAAACTGCGGCCGGTGCCGCCTCGCTCGGCGGCGGGAATCCACGATTTCCCATGGAAACGGGACCCGTCGCTAATCCACGCCCCCTTGATCCATGTTTGCGATCGCCTGAAAAATTCGGGCGTCACAGAAACTAATCCGAACGGCAACCTGTGCGTCGTGTCCTGCCTGGGACCCTGGCTGTGAAACAACCGCTCGGGTCGAGCGAACGGCCCAGAGGGACGCATGGGGAAAACCGGGGGCCCGTGTCACAGACAAAAACATGGCATCGGAGGGGGAGGCGCTCCTCCGTCCCAGCCTGCCTACATCCCACTGTGCGTTCCCCCTGTCCTTGCCTCGGGTTCTCCCTCACTATCCCCTGGGAGCCCCAGCAGTAGCATCCCCGTGCCCCCCACCTTTCCCGAGGGCTAGAATCTTTCCCAACCGAGGGCTGCCTCTGACATCCTTCGGCGAATGCATGGACCGAGAAACAAGGGGAATCTCTCTCTCTCTCTCTCTCTCTATATATATATGTATATAAATAAATGTGTGTGTATTACACTGCGCATGTCAAACAAAAGCTGTTGCCCTAAAGCCAGCTTAGGCGGCTGATTACGCGTCAACCAAAAGCGCATTGTACTCATGCGTTGGGCACATTCCCTCTTTCCACACACTCCTGCGGCAGCACCAAGACCAAGCAATTCGGTCACCGTACGCAGGTAGACCAGGATATCAAGACAGATGACACAAGCCTGAACCTTACCCTGCGAGGGATTCTAACGATACTGATCGCTGCACCCACACTCCCCTGCAGCGCATCGGAATGCTGCTAACCCATAGAATGAAACTCGCCTACGTTCAGCGGCATGGTAATGTGTTCGAGGAATGTTTCCACTGAGTAGGTTGACCTCAATGCGCGCATGCGTGGCATGTAGAAGCACTTGCCGCAACCAACCCAACGCGCGAACGTACGTCTTGATGCCCCATGCGGGATATGAGCAAACATCGTTACTTTCGCGCAGCGGTCGCAGCCCGGGGCGGGGGGGGCGTCTGGCAACGGTAACGCTAGGGCGGGGTAGGGCACGACGGGACGGGGAGCGATCGCAACAGTTTGCGCGCGGACACCACGCCATGCCCGTGATCACCACAAGGGCCCGCGAAGAAGTCTGAGAGCGACCGCAGGGCGCCTGCGAGCACTCGCAGGGCGCCTGCGGAGCACCTGCGAGCAGCACGGCATGACTTCGGGCACCAGCATGCTGGGGGAGGGGTCCAAGCCCCCTCCCCCCCCACTCACGATCGCTACCGTTGCCCCGGGGAGGGGGGGGGGCCGGGTAACCACTGGTGCGCGCCAAAAGATTTTGATCTGCGGGGCGGGAGCGAGCCTCTTCCGCTGAAAGCTAAGCGGGACGCGCACAGCTTTAATTAGCAGAGAAAGGGCGAAAGAAGGGCGATAGAAAGGGGCGCCAAAAGGTACACACACACACACTGTCACAACCGCCTCCTCCCGCTTGCCTTGCGCCGGCGGACCCGTCGCCGTTTTACTTCCGCCACCTTCCGCCGAGGGCAGGACGCGCCGAAGTCGAGGCCCTTCCTGGAGCGCTTCGGGTGGAACCCCTCGTGGCAAAGCGGTGGCGGCCACTGCACCACAGAGCACGAGGCAGACAGTGGGCAACATCACGACGGATGAAAGCGCGTTCGCGCTGCCTGGCAGAGCCAGACGCTCGCATTGACGTGCCTCGAGCTGGCATTGTGGTGTGCAACAGGCGATGTCCTACCACACCGGCGAAGTTCACGAAGACAGCCAAGACAAAGCACAGAAAGCACTCGAGAAACCTCGAAGCACTACTCCTTCTCTTTGGCCCCTTCTCATCATGCTCATCCTCATCCGCTTGCAATCATCCGCCTCGTCGTCACCATCCTCGTTTTGCTCCTTTTTGGCCTCCTCCTCCTCCTCCTCCTCCTAATTACCGATTCCCGCTCCCCCCAAATCCTCCCTCCTCCTCGCAATAGTCGTGGTCGCCGCCGTCGTCGTCGTTGTCGTCGACGCTGTCGCGTGCGCGCGCGGGGTCGCCGCCTCCTGGGCCGTCAGCGAGCCGCTCCCGTAGGACAGGACCTGCGAGAAGGGGGGGTGCTCAAGTCCCCGTGGGGCAGCACAGAGGAGGAGGGGGAGGAGCAGGAGTAGGAGTAGGAGTAGGAGTCAAGCTAGCCAGCTCGAGCGAGTCAAGCATGGCATGCCCAGTCCCACCCGCCCTCCCACAACATAAAAAGCAAAGCTGGCACAACTGGGGGCCGAAGTCACACAACTGGGGGCCGAAGTCACACCGGCCAGCCGGTTTGGTACAGCTGATGCGGCCGCGATGGCGGTTGCCGACGGGAACTGGCGAGCGCGTGTTGAATGCCGCGCACGCATTGCCAGACGAGTCGAGAATGGCCCGGTACACCGCAGGAAGCCAGAGGTGGCCGGAGGAATCCCGACGGTCTGACAGGACACCCCAAAGCATTTTTGTGAAAAAGCATTGGGTTTTTTTATGTTTTTATGTTGAAATGCTTGCAAACACACGGCATTCGGTAGGATTCTGACATGAACGCGCGAGTGTGTTCTTTTCTGACATGAACGCGCGGAGTGTGCTCTTTGTGGGAGTGTGCTCTTTGTGTATTTTTTTTGGTGCCGATTCCCGCGGCTGGGTGCATGACAGAGCATCGCGGGTGCACCGCGCGATGACGTGAAATCGCTGGATTTGACGGAATTCTTAAGATTCCTATGGTTTTCCTATGATTTCAACAAGAGAGCCCGGGCGGGAAATTTGTACAATTTTTGTGAAAATGCATTGGGTTTTTTATGTTTGTATGTTGAAATGCTTGCAAACACACGGTGTTCGGTAGGATTCTGACATGAACGCGCGCGTGTGCTCTTTGTTGTATTTTTTGCAATGGATTATCGCCGTGGACGACAGGACGTCCATGTCGAGAGGAAAAAATAATAATAAAAAAAAAAAATGTTGATTTTGTATTGTTTTTTACAGGTTAGGATGGGACCACCCGGATGCGGCCCCTATCGGCCGGCCTGAGGGGGGAGTAGGAGTATATTCTAATAAGGAATAAGGATAGGAGGATCAACTGACGGCTGCCGCCGTCGAGAGAAAGCTGAAAGTCTTTTCTGCCCGAGACTCAAGAGCTCTTGAGCCAAAATGGTTGCGGTCGAATCGGCGTCGGCGTGAGAGGGGCAGCTCGGGGGGCCAGGGAGACAGTGTCCATTTCAACACCCGTCCTCGCTGTCATACTGGCCCGAACTTCGAGATTCCGAGCATAGCTTCATTAATACGGAAGCGGCCCAGCTGGGCCGAATATGAAAGGCGATCTAGGTAGATCGCAAAGCCACACGGGGCTGGTCCCCGCGCGGGGCACGCATCGCACAGGACAGGCTCTCGCGCACAGATGCGACAGGCTGAGTCCTACGCTCATCGGCACGGCGCCGCCGTGCAGCTCGTATGGCCTCCTTCGTGGCCGCCGCCTCGGAGGAGACGGTCGTCGTCACGTAGCCGTCGCGCATGGCGTTCGTCAGGTAGCTCCTCTCCGCTTCGAGCTTCGTCAGCGCGTCTGCGAGCTGCACACTGGTATCGCACCACACCAGGTCGACTCCATCTTGGCTTAGAAGCTCTCGAAGCGAGGCCACCACCACTCGAACTCGGCGATCGGCGACCTGACCAGCGTCCGCCAGCAAGTGGCTCACCAGGCTGTTAGCGTCGTCGAACCACTTGACTGGCATCAACGTCGCATTGTCATGAACCAACTCCGCGATCGGCTGGTCCGGCTTGTCCATCTCGTAGTACAATGCCCTGATCCACTCCAGCGCCTCCGCGCCTTCGGTCAAACCGTGGGCCTCTGCCGCCATCGATGCCCGGCAGACTCTCCGAATCTTGGAGCTGCCCCAGTCCAAGAAATGAGCAGGTCCACCGCCTTCCTTGTACAGGCCGTCGTCGCACAACAAGCACACAAAACCGCACTGCGACCTCACCTTCTCGCCCAGCGCTCCGAACTTCTTCTCGTCGATATTATTGAGGCTGCTGTCGGCGAACACACACACACACACACGAAGGTCGGCGTCGTTTTTGATGAAGTAGCTACGGAAGTGTAGGCACACGTCCTTCGTCTCATGGCAGTACCGCACCAGCTTGTTCATCTCCAGTAGGTCCTGCACCGTCATGGTGTTCTTCTGCTGTGCGAGCCAACTGTAGCCGAAAGAAACGTCCATCCGCAGCTGTCGCGAGAGCCATCCCAGTGAACCAATACCGACTCCGCAAAGCTCTTTGGTCTCTTTTTCCTCGGCATTCCTTAGCCAGCACACTTGATTTGCTTCCGCGCCTTGGTTGGCAGCATCGGCAACTACAGTCCATCTGCTCCACGAAGTGCGGTCATCATGAGGACCCTGATCGAGAAGTCCCTCTGCTGCTCACCACGTCCCTCGCCGCAGTTAAACCTGAAGGGTCGACCTGGTTCTCCTCCGTCAAGGAAGCAAGGGAGTCTTGAGCTTCGTCCATCGTGTCGAGCCTTAGAGCTTGGCTAGGTTCGGATCTATGGTCGCGAACAGGTCAGTCCACGTATGTGCGATAAGGCCAACGAGGATGTCAACCCTCGACAGAGCATGAAGAATGCTCTCATCCAGGAACGGCACTCCCTGCCAAGAGTTGCCGGCCGCGCAGCGTCCTTCGTAGCTTACTCCACCACTTCCGCCCAGCATCCTTAGTGCCATAGATCGCCCCGTGGCACACGAACAGGGAACCAGGTGGCACTCCAGGAGGTAGTGGTGAGGGCGGTCGTAGCACCAGCATGCGGACAACATCATCTCCTTGTAGGTAGGCGCTCGTCGCGTCGAGCTTCGTAGTAACCAGTGCTATCCTCGCCGCCTTCGTGCGGCAGATCAAATGGGACCAAACACCCAGCAGGGAAGATGTGGGCGAATTTCCGTCACAGAGACATGCACGACTCGTAGCAGCCAACCGCCACCAGCCTCGACTTCGCCTTGAGCGGTAGCTTGTGGTCGTACTCGTTCTTGTTGGTGTGAACCCACCTTGACGGAATAGGCTTCGCCCTCTTCAGCAGCTCTTTCGCATCGTCTCCGATAACCACGGTCACCGCCCTGAAGTTACGCCAGTTCTCCCACTCCTTGGCCATGCTCGCGTCGAACTCCTTCCGCTCGGCCTTGGTCAGGTCCGTCAGGTTGATCTCCTTCCCGCGGGAGCGTCCCGTTAACCACGCATAGGATATCCAGCCGCGGTGCACCTCGTCCGAGTCGTACTCAGCAAGGTACGCTCCACCGGCCATGGGGCCGCCACCACGATGTAGTCGAGCGCGGGTCCGCTGTGGCCCGTATCCAGGTAGCCGTTCAGGTAATTCGGGAGGTTCGGGAAGCCTTGGGAGATCCGGGAGTTCGGAAGGTTCGGGAAGTTTAGGAGGTGGAGTCGCCGTCGCGTCGTTATCCTCGTTCATCTCCTCCACTTCTCCTTCTCCAGCCTCGCCAGATCCTGGATCAAGCCCGGCAGGTGCTGGGTCGTGTCCCTGACGTAGCACTGGCTCAGGTAGCTGAGCTGCTGGCTGATGCTCTGGAACTCCGGGAGTGAGATTTTCTCCAGGTCGCGGATCATCTTGAGCTGCGTCGCGCCCTTGTAGTGGTGTGCTAGCCGTGTCAGCTCCCTCGGCAGGCTGTGCACTGCCCGACGGCGCCTCCGTAGTTCTCGACGCTGGAGGCTCCGGGCGCGGACCAGTCGCGGCAGTAGCCGCCGTAGGTTCCCTGCCTGGTAGCGCAGCAGCTTCGGGATCTTCAGGTGCTCCGTCCTCGAGGCCTTCGCGACGAACGTCCAGGAATCCTCGAGGCCCTCGTGGAAGTGCCGCTCCACGCTGATCAGCAGGCATCCAATCCCAGGTAGTCAACTCGTCCTCCGTCGCGAACCGAAGCTGCTCCGGCCTTGCCAAGACCGCACCGCCGCCATACCGTAGCCAAATCGCGTGAGGGCTCCCCTGCACGGCCGCAGGTCGGAGTGTGGACTCGATGCCGTCCGCCATCTTCTCGGGGTCGCGGTAGTCATGGCCGATGACACGCGCAGCACCGAACCAACGATGGTACAGGGCAGGAGACTCACCCGGCCTGACATGGGTGCGCCTGAAGTAGACGTAGGCGCCCACAGGGAACGGCCCTCTCGTAGGGGTCGATCTCGCCAGCTTGGCCCTCCTCACGCGACAGTCGTTGCCCATCTTCACGAAGGCGACCTTGGCACACTCGCGCCACAACAGGTTGGATGCCATGGCGGACTCCGGGTCGAGCGCCGCCTCCTGCACCTGGAGCTTCTCGGCCTCTGAGTCCTGAAGCATCGAACCTGGTACCCGCAGGCCGCGAGTACCTAGTACCCAGTTGGCGGGTGCGTAGCCGTCGTAGATCACCGTCTCGTTGCGCACCTGGTTGACGACGCCGCACACGCTCCTCAGGTCCTTCTCCTTCGTGATCTGGGCGTCCTGCACCACGCGATGCCACACCTCCTTCCAGACGCCACCTAGCCTCTCGATCCTGCCGAGCTGCTCGTGAGCCTCCAGGGCCGCATTCTGGATCTCCACGCCGTTCTCATGCATGTGGGCCAGGAACTCCTTAGCGAACTCCTTGCCGCGGTCCACGAAGATGGACTGACTGGGGCAGTCCAGCCCAGCTAGCCCACACCGTCAGGAACGTATCTAACGCGACCTTAGCAGAGGGCGCGTACGTACCCTTGTGGAGATACCAAACAACCTGGAACCTCGTACCGTCGCAGACTATGTTCAGGAAGGCGTGGGTGTTACCCTCGGCGTCGTGTGCGAACAGCGTGTCCAGCATCACGTGGAAGTTGAACTGGTAGCGACCCGGCATGCGGACCAGGCGTACGTGCTTCGCCCTGATCATGTCGCCACAGGCGTCACACCTGAAGTCCCACACGCAGTCCAGGAACTCCTTCTTGGCACCTGACCTCCTCAAGCACCTCACCAGGGTCACGTTGGTCGGGTGGCCGAAATTGACGTGCAGATTCCTGATGTCGCGCCTGACCGCAGGGTCGTAGGTGAGCCACCTCGCTCTGCGCTCCTGCTCCTCCT